TGTCGGTCAAGTATACCTCGCCCGACTCGGGCCGGACGTTGGCAAATGCGTAGAGAACATGGGTGAGGTTCTCTACAGGCAGGTCTTGTGGGCGATGCTTGCGGCCGTAGATGGCCCTGGAGAAAATTACAAGTTAGCAGTCTACTCTGAGTAAAGACCCCAATGGAGGCAACTCCATGGAGGGGAAACATACCAGTTCACAAAGTACGCAACGCTGCGGTAGCCCTCGCCTGGTCCGCCTCCCATAGTGTTAGTCGTCGTGAAGGGGAGGGGTAAATTGACAAGAGTATCAGTGTAAGTATGCAAGAAAAGCAAGAGTGTCAGGAGAACAGCAGCAGATGTGAAAATGGTAGGAATAGGCTGCGCGAGATGCATATGGGGTCGTCATGCTGTGCAGGTGTGAGATCGAAGAGGAAATCCCAAAACGTCGTCAGGTCAGCCCCGCTGTATGTCACTGCCCAGCTTGTGAGGTCACTGCTCAGACGAGTGGCGGGGCATGAGTGGACGTGATTGGGCGTATGAAGGGAACATCCATCTCTCAATATCAACATCAACATGTTCAAGACTTCAATGTCCTTAGAAGTCACGGGTCGCTTTCTGTTTGCATGGTCTTGTGCGACCTGAGATCCAGGCATGGCTCTGATGCTTGTCCACTGATGTAGTCCGGAGGCCGATGAACTTTGTCCCCCGGTGAAGTGGATCCTACGCCGCCCCGTTGTGTCTTCGCCGAACCAAGGCATTGTCAGTGTCACCGAGGGTCATTCTAGCTTAACCTAAACTCTATCAGATAGTATAACTGCAGACGCTCGGTTTAAACAGACAATGCGATGGTTTTTGTGAATACTCGATGGAAGTTTTTTTTGTATCGCGACTACATGGCCCAAACTCCCGATATGATCATCACGTGACCAAACAACTGGTCTTGGTAATCATCACCAGGCAGCATCGCCGTCAACACTCTGCCATCACATTTGTTTTTCCACAGCACTGCCGTGATGGGCCCCCTGGCGTTCTTTACACGGGCGCTGGTCGCTTTTGAGGTGAGCCATCTCTACCCACGGTTGCCGGACATCTGCTAACTGGACCAGGACATCATCGTTCGACAGGTTTGCCATTTCTCCTCCCTCGTCCCGAATCTCGACTGACGGCCCAGATTCTCAAGAGCCCCGGCTTCCATCGCGGAGTTGGTCGCATTCACAAGATTGTACACGAGCGAAAGTACGGCCGTAATCCCCATGAACCGCTGTACCCCGGAGAGGCTACTGGTACGTTTGTTTGCTCGGCAAAAGAGAACCCAGGCTGACCTTTCTAAAGAGGATCATAGCGTCAAGTCGAGTACGGGCAAGTTCCGACAATACTTTGTGGAAGAGATCAAGGACCAATGGAAGGGGACAGTCAAGGACTATCCGCCAAAGCGATGATTGAATGGCTTGCGGGAGAATGACTGGACCACGCGATCAAGCGAACAGGAACCGAACAGGTTGAAACACCCCACTCCAGGATGCGATCGAAATGAGTTCTGGGCGTCTCGGCTTCGCATTCGAACAAACGAACAAACGAATTCTATGCCCCTTTATCCGCTGGAAAAATGCCGATATTGGGAAGCAGCCGAGCCGCGATGACTTTGTCCGCCTCACATCTGGGTCATGATACATTATGCATAAGACGACCTACCTCTGGGGAGGCGCACAAAGCAGGAGCATGCACAGCGCCATCGGACGCTGTCAAACTACGGCAAGTGTGCCGCGAGACACTTCTGGACTCGCGAGGCTATTTCACTACGGATTCAGAGACTGGGGCTACACCGGAATATCCGACGATGCGCAAACCATACTCGGCCTTCTAGGAGATCCGAGGATGCCGCAGCGATGCTTGTACAACATTACTACAATCTTACCATACTTTCCCCTCCCCCGTGTTAGCATCTTCGTGTTGTGCTCATGATACTCCTGCTGCTTACAGCCTCGAGTCTGCAGGTAGTTCCTGTTCAGGTGCTTGGCAATAACAAGACCAGCTGCGACCTTAACTCCGCGGCACACAATCTCGCGCAACACCTGATCCTCATGGCGACGTCGCGGGGAGCGCAGAGGCGACATTGTTAAAGCGATCGTCGGAGCAGACTCGCCCGCCTTGTCGTCCCTGTCGATCCGGGGCTGTTGCCGATTGATCAACGGAGCTCGAGCGCCGATCAGAGACCCCTCGACCTACGGAGCCAAGAGCTTGGAGGACCTTGCATTTCTTTGACAAGTTGATTGTGTTGCACTCTGGCATCGGCCTGCACCATCCGACCAAGTACGGTACCTGGGCGACCACGTGAAGTCGTCAAGGGGTTTCGTGCTAGATCAGGGGTGATGGAGCCGGCGATACCACACAGGTATTCCACCTTGAGGGGAATACCTCATTCCGCCATGTCGTTGCAATCTTGGTTTCCCCGCATGCATTTCGTTTGCATGCCTTGGCGAAGGGTGTCGATGAAATAAAGTGGCCGTTTGGGCGGTCCTCCCGGCCAAGACCTTCCGGCTAGCCTTATTGCGGACCTCGGAGGAGGCCGCAGCGACCACCACAACGATACCAATTAATGCTCGCCACGAAAACTGAAGGCGACATCGTGGGCGTTCATGAGGCACCTCAAACTGCCGTTTTGGTTCCGGCGCAAGCCACCCGAACGGCTTGTCGGGCTGCATTGCGGCCATTTCGACGATGCCATTTATTGAGCGAATGCTGCTGTTCACCTTTGCTGGCCACTCACGCTTCACGTCATTCTCTCGACTGCCACCATCATGAAGTCGCAAATCGGTTTCGCCGCGCTCCTGGCGCTCTCTAACCAGGCTCTGGCCCAGCAGACGGCGTATGGCCAGTGTGGTGGTAACGGCTGGACTGGCCTTACGACCTGCGTCTCTGGCTACTTCTGCAATGCGTACCACGAGTGTAAGTGGAATCATCAAAGCGAATGGCCTCAGACCGCAGATGGCTAACATGATCAGGGTACTCTCAGTGCATTCCCGGCCAAGCCCCCCCGGGCACAACCACCACGGCCCCGGCTCCTCCTGGCACGACGACCAGCACCAGACCTGCCACCACGTCAACCACTTCTAGGCCTGCCACCACCTCTGCGGGCACCACCTCTGCGGTCACCACCAGGGTTTCAACAACTACGTCTTCAGCGCCTCCCCCTGCGACGACCACGTCCGCCGGTAGCTGCTCCAGCTCCTTCACGTCCATCTCGGCCGCCGATTATGTCGATGCTATCAGCCCCGGCTGGAACTTGGGCAACACGCTCGATGCGATCCCTAACGAGGGTTCCTGGAACAACCCACCCGTTGATGACGGCACCTTTGACCATGTCGTTGACGCCGGCTTCAAGAGTGTCCGTATTCCGGTCACCTACACCGCCCACCTCACCAGCGGTGCGGCCCAACTGGACTATTGACCCCGTGTGGCTGCAGCGTGTTCGGATGGAATTGATCAGGCTCTGGCTCGCAACCTCTATGTCATCACCAATGTGCATCACGGTACGTCTCAGTATTGATTCTTCTTGGTGGCTTGCTCACACCGCCATCTCGCTGGCTTCCGCTGACAGACTGAAGACTCGTGGGAGTGGGCAGATGTTCGCAGCGGCGACCTCGTTGTTATTCAGCAGCGTTTCCGCGCCATCTGGGTGCAAATCGCTAAGAAACTCGCTTGCAAGAGCTCTCGTGTTTCGTTTGAATCCATCAATGAGCCCCCCGCCGACAACGCAGTCGATGGCGCCAACGTCAACAAGTTCAACGAGCTTTTCGTTAGTGCCGTCAACGAGGCTGGCGGTCACAACGCCAAGCGTGTGCTCCAACTGGCCGGCGGTGTCAGCGATCCTATCAAGACGACTCAGTGGTTCAAGGCCCCCGCTAACATTCAGAACCCTTGGGCCCTTCAGTTCCACTACTACTCGCCCTACGACTTCATCTTCGGTGCCTGGGGCAAGACCATCTGGGGCTCTGCCGCTGATCGCGCTGCTCTGACCGCCGACTTCCAGGCTGTTCGCGGCAACTTCTCCAACGTGCCCCTCGTCCTCGGCGAGTTCGATGCCAGCCCCCTCAACACGGAGCCTGCCGCACGTTGGAAGTGGACTGATCATCTAGCCCGCATTGCTACCGATCTCGGCGTTGCTCTCGTCATCTGGGACAATGGTCTGGATCATCTCGACCGGAACACTGGCGTGTGGCGCGATCCCGTGTCCATCGCTCTCATCGAGGCTGCCGTTGCTGGCGAGCGCAGCTCCCTTCCCGACAGCACGGAAGATGCCGGCGCGTCGACTCAGTCGTCCTCTGCCTACCTCTGGAACAAGGTCGGCAATGCTGTGGCTGATCAAGTGCTTCCCTGGCTCTTCAACGGTAACACCCTGACTGGTATCACAACCCAGACTGGTGACGCCTTGTCAGCGGGTTCTGATTACACCGTGTCCTCCAATGCCATCACCTTCAAGGCCGGCTTCCTTTCTGACTACCTCGGCCCCAACGTGACTCCTGGAAGCAAGGCCAACCTTACTTTGACCTTCTCGGCCGGTGCCCATTCCAACATTGAGGTTGTCCAGTGGGACACCCCTGTTCTCGTCACCGAGCCCGATGCCACTCCCGGCCAGGACCTCCAGATCCCCATCAATGGAAGGGCGTACCCGTGCTTGCCGCTGTGCGTGCTGAGGCTGCCGACGGCACCATCCTGTTCGATGACTGGACGCAGTGGCTCGGACCTCTGCAACGTGGACGCCTGGTAAGTTCCCGAAATGTCCGACATACGAGCTTGTTTGCTAACAAGTGGCACAGACGTTCAACAGCCACTACTTCTGGGAGGGCAGCAATGTCATTCTGCGCGCGTCGGCCATCGCCGCCGTGCTTGAGCTGAACAAGGCCGTCAAGTTCACCTTTGAGTTCTACCCCCGTGTAGCGGGTAACTCGGTCACCTACACACTCGACCCGACGGACGAGTGTTAAGCGTCTGCGGGTGATCTTGGAAGCAGGAAATCCATGCCATATTGTGCTGTAGCTTATGCGCTGTTGTCAAAACCTCATACAAAGCCAGGCCATTCGTCAAGTTGTTCCGAGGACCCGTGACCGTGGAGAAATTCCATTGATCCCAAGATATGAAACGTTCCTCTGCAGGTTCGTGTGCCGCCAACGCCATGCCTGCCCCATCGGCCAGTTATCCCATAGGTCCTCGGATCAGAGAAGCAATTTGGTTATCAATTGTTTCCACCACTCGTGTGTTTTTGCGTGGCTGGAACCTGCAGCCGATTCTCTCTTTGGCATAGGGTTCCATCTCGCAGTCCTGCCCGGCCCCCTACAGAATATCAGGAACCGCTTCCGAGGGCTATCCAAGCCATACTACAATCTGAATCGGACCTATGCTGAAGTGTCAGGGCTAAGACAAATCGATACGAGCATCAACGGCAGACTATGGCCAACGGGTCTCGTACCGCCTCGTAGTTTCGTGCCATGACCAGTAGCAATTCTCATGAGAACATCATAGGTGGGACAGTGATACTATAGACAAAGGCCACTTGCAGCAGTATCGCCTGCCCAGCTCGTTAGCGTTACGTCATTGTGTTTGAAATGACTGCACGTACAACTTCGGGGTGCCGCTGCGGCCCTTCTAGTCCTCCTTTGAGAAAAGCTCAGCGCTGGTGACGGTTATTTTCAGTGGGGTCATCAGGTTCAACAGGCTCCGGTTGAGGATTCGGTTTAGGTTTCGGTTTAGGTTTCGGTTTAGGTTTCGGGTCCACGACATGCGAACCGGCGGCTTGATTCATGGATTCCTCTCTCAACAGTACTATTATACACTCCGGCATTAGCTAAAGCGCCCGTTTTCGTGTGCTGTATTTGTATAACGTCTATGTCGAAACCCGAAAACCGTCGGAACTCAAAACCGTTGATGGCTAAATCGAGTTTGTTTCTGAGTGATTGGGAACTCGTTGGTAAGGCACACCAGCGAGATGCGGCCAGACGACCCTTTTTCTACTTCATTCTTTCTTCTTTTCGTGTGAGGCAGCCTTTAAGACCTTGTTCGGGTGCCAATAGTAGGTGCGCCTTACGTCCAGCCGGGAGTGCCGAGCCTTGTGTACACACCGTGAGGAGGGGTAGTGTGACTGAGTCTTAATCCTCTCACCGGTTCACGGCAAGGCTCGCCAATAGTCACCTTGAATAAAGATATCAGTGATGCTGCTTACTCCAGGTCTCCAGATTTGAAATCTTTCTAGCCGAGCCTTGGGTGCACACGGTGCATCAGGATGAGATCATATGAAACACGAAAAAAAAGCCTTACCTGGCTTCTTGCTTTAAAGAGTTGGCATACTCGAGACTAGCACACTCCCACCCCTAACCGTCCTCGAATTCTTGATTTCACATCTGGGCCATCTAATCGCCTTGTCATACCTTCTTGGGCCAGCTCCGACATATTCAGTCTGAAAGCTTTGGACGGTGCTTCGAAGAACCTACTTCGCCACACACTCCGATAGCATGTCTCAGTGTGCACAAGATGCAGCGGGCAAGGCAGAAGAGATCGCCCGCAGTGCTGGAAGCCCAAGTGAAGACGATGTCAAGAGAAGGCCCTGGTAAGTGTGCTTACTCGGGTATCCCGTGGCCTTGCGTGGGCTAATTTGATGGCTTGAACAGGAAGTTCATTGGAAAACAAGGCCTCGTTTCGTTCGTCGCGTCTGACCCAGAGCTCTTCGCTGTCAGACGGTTCGACAAACTACACTCACGGGCCATTCTCAGTCTTCAGGACGAGTTGGCAGATTACGAAGAACGGCTCGACAACATGGATGCCAGATACAGCTCACTGCATGTGATGTTGATAGGCAGGCGCCCATCGATATTCGTCGAAGTTCCGCCGGGAGGATTCACCGCGGAAGAAAAGGCCTCGAATCAAGAAAAGTATGGCGACAATGCTATACCAAGACACATCAATAACGGCAGCTTTCGTGACGAAGTAGCTGAGCGCAAAGAACTGACGGAAGCGATAACTTCTAAGCTCATGGCTTACGGTAAGTACGCCGGGGAACCTTGGTAGACCCCGCAGCTGATGTCTAATCTAGACAAGCTTCTCTTGCGCTACTTCAAGCTCCACTCGAAACCAGTAGCATCCCCATGGACCAGAGCCAATATCGAAGCCTGGTTTAGTAATAACGAAAAGGCAGTAGCGGAACAAGAGCAGGATTTTATAAAACACACAGATGACTTGATCGGGCTTGTTGCAGAAAAGTCGCCGATGCGGCGGTTTTTCGAACACAGAGTCATTTATCCAACGAGAAACAGCCTACGTCTCTTCAAACAGAAGCCGGCAGAGGACCTCGGTTGCCAAGAACAGTCGATGTATTATCGGTACAGCGACGAAGGCATCGATAGGCTCGCACTAGCTGCTTCTCTTTCAGCAACAATTGCCATGTTTCTCACGCCCATGTGGATCATGCACACTTTGGACAGCGGACGAACGAAGCTGGTTGTCATCACATGCTTTTCTTTGGCCTGGTTCATGTTTCTGGCCGTTGCAGCGATCGGGTCGGCATCTACCAACTTGGCAGCAACAGCGGGGTGAGTAATGACCCGGATATCAGTCACCAGGCAAATTGGCTAATTCAGGTCTCCCCCAGTTATTTGGCGGTCATGGTTGTTTTCTTGCAGATTGGGCAATCTAATTCGTGAGGCAACGTACTGGCTACTTGAACGATAGATAGGTATCTTCAAGCAATTGATTTCTCTCGCGTCTGTGTCCGAGCCGCCGACCAGTGCCGAAGGAATCAAGGGCCGAGTGGGGCCGAATTTAGTGGATCGAGTGCACATCTTAATCCAACGTCCCACCCCTCACGCGCCGGGCCCTCGCTGTTACTCACGACTCCACGACCCAAGACGGCCATGGACACAGGCAAACCCCCGCCGGCATCATCCTCATTCTCGGCCGCACACTATTTCCCGAGTCGGCGCCGCGTCTGGCAGGCATGCACCAACTGCCGGGCCCGCAAGACGCGGTGCGATGCGGCGAAACCAAAATGTAGTTTATGCATGGCCCAGAACGCTGACTGTGTGTACAAGGACTCGAACCAGCCACGCATCGATCACAATACTCGCATCATGCTGGAGCGTATTCAACTGCTCGAAGATCGTTTGTTCTCCTCCCCGGTCTTCGGTCAACCTGCGACAACACCCTCACATCCTCCACAGTCGCTCGTTCAGCCAGACCCTGCTGAACAGCTCGGAGGAGCAACCTCTTCCTCTTACCTCAGAGATCGCCACGGCGATGCCATGAGCACGGATGCTGCAGAAACTGACAAGCAGATTCCCATCCCGTTGTCACATACCGCCAACGCAAATCACGTCTTGGAATGGCCCATTGTCCAGCAGCTACTATCTCAGACACATTCAGCTCCACCACCAAAGCCGGCCTTGGGTGATATGCAATCGACAGAGGCTACAGACATCTTCTTCACCCAGGACGCGCATGCGGCGCCGAGCCTGTGCCCGCCGGAATCCTGGAGGCTGTTCAACAAGCAGGATTTCGCCTCTTCCGGTGCTGTGGGCTACTACCGCGAACTCATCCAGACATACTTTGACGAAGTCAATATCTTCTTTCCGTTACTATCATTGGACTACGTTCAACGTCTCTTTGATGCTATTGTATCTTTCGAGAGCTCAAATGACGATCAAGACGATATCGCGCCTGCACTTCACTGCCTGGTGCTGCTTGTGCTGTCCTTTGGCTCCTTTGTACATGATGGGAGGTGTCGAATTCGCCTTGCAGGAAGCAGCACTGTCACACCACTGCCTTCACAAGACTATTCATCTTTGGATGATAAACTTTGGCGGAAAGCCAAGCTTCTTCTTGGCTATGTTTCTTCCGACTTGACCCTCGAGGCGGCGCAGTGCACCATGCTCGCGAGGTAAGATATCCCCCAGCGGACTGACGAGACCGTCTGGCTGACATCCCTTCTCACCAGCCTATATACGGGCGCAATGGGACGAGTATCAGACTCCTTCCATTGGGCGCACGCCACAGCTGTCAAGTGCGAGGCCCTCGCCAAACGGGTCACCGCCGATACCACAGAGACTGGCGTCTTCTCCGAGTCCTTCCGCCGTCTCTACTGGGTCGCGTTCATCTACGAAGGCGATTTCATATCAGAAGTCTCCATCACCCTCCCCTCAGGCATCGCCCGCTACGAAGACGTCGTTCCCTATCCCGTTCAAGAAGCGCCGTCTCACGCCCGCCGACCCCCCAGTTCCTCCACTGCCCAGCACCTCTCCCCCAGTGCCGCGACGGCCATCAGCCCCGCCTCGTCATCCCTCGACCGCACCGAGGAGCTCGTCGCCTTCCAGATCAGCACCAACGCCGCCATCCGCCGCTTCCTCAACCGCGTCAACAGCGTCGTCTACGACAGCAAGGACCAGTTCCGCATGACGCGCGCCAACTATGCCAACTGGCTCCTCCGCATCACGGAGGACCTCTGGTCCTTCCACGGCGCCATCTACCAGAACCTCCCCGACTTCCTCCTCACCAGCAGGCCACGCAAGCCCACAGGGTCGCCCGCCACCCCGGGTTTCCCGTCCGTTGAGGAGCTGGGAAACAACCCGTGGAACGTGCTGCGGCTCGAGGGGCGGTACTATGCGGGCCAGTACATCATCCACCGCCCGTTCATCGAGTACGTCCTCCTCAACGTCAGTCACTTTGCGACGCATCCGTGCCGCGAGGCTGTGCTGGAGCGGTGCCGCCTGTGTCTGCTTGGGTGCAAAGGGTTCATCCATGTCTTCGACGTGGATCCCACCAACAGCGTGACGGGGCTCTTCGCCGCGGGCATGGTGTAAGTGTTGTCTGCATCCTTCTTGTCGCCTTGGTCCGTGATGCTGACTTGCGCAGGACGTTTACAATGGTCATCATCTTGAGAGTGGCGACCATGTGTCCCGTGTTTTGCGATATTCTGCCGCCCGAAATTGAGCGTGCGATTGTTGTCGGTGGGCGGAATCTGCGTCGATTCAGTGGAAGTGTCAGGGAGTTTGAGTGGCATCTGGGCGTCTTGGAGAAACTAGAAGAATCTTGTCGCAGGCAGGGGGGCGATGAATGAGTTTGTCATGATGCAAGACAGTGGCACGTCTCCTCATGCTATGAACTCGGGTCTTTCAGCTTCTGCAATTGCCAGCCTCCACGAGTAGGCTGACCGATCCAACAGCACAGTGGCTTCTTCACGATGCGGGCTCTCTTTCAGAAGGATGATGTGCAAGTGCTTGTTTAGATGCTATATTTCAGTTCGGTTGTAGACTGTATCAAGTAACGTTCTGCTGCTGACCCCGTTTCCACGCGAGTTGGTACCTGACACCGCATGACAACAGCCTTCGTGTTGAGAATCATTCTTTCACCTAGGTGTCATGCATAAACCCAGTTCACGCCGCCACTGGCACGGGCGTCACCTCTACCTTCTCAATCCTCTTTCTTTTCTCATCCGGCGCCAGCTCAAACACGCCCACCCCAGATATTGTCTCCTTCGCCTTGGTCCTCTCCTCCACCGACGGCTGAATCACTTTGCCCTCGAGCCTCTTGTCCGCCGACGTCATGGGAGCGTACAGCTTGAGCAATTCGTTGAGCCTCTCCCTCTGCAGGCAGTTCTCGATTTTCCAGCTCGCCGCCAGAGCATCGAGCTCCTCAAACGTCTTGTCCTTGAAGTAGTCGGCCCACTCCTGGACCATGTACTCTGCCATGGTAATGCCGCGAATGCCACGGAACACGTGCATGTGCATGCGCCACTGCCAAGGGTACTTCTTGCTGTGTTGCGCCGGCACGTTGTCCTCGAACCACTTGTGCAGCGGCCCAAAGAGGCCGTCCTGAAGGTGGGCGTCGTCATAGGCCCAGCTGTCCACGGCCAGGTCGCGCTTCTTCTTGATTATGGGGGCGAGGAGCTTGAGCCAAGGCGACTCGGGGGAGAGGTAGGCCAGGCCCATGACGTTGATGTCTTTGTAGCACCAGATAGACCATGCTGCGAGCTGTTAGCCGTGTTGTTCCTTTCGTTGGTGTTGGAATGTAACATGCCGATGCTTTCGGAGGTGTAGATGGCCATCTGGCGGTCGAGCATGTTGTAGCGCTCATTGTTATGCGTCTCCCATTCGGGATTGAAATCCTCGCGTTCATAAATGGGACCAAACTCGCCATTCCACACGGGTACATTGTGCTCCTTCATGAAAGCCGCCTTGCGATCATACATCTGTCGAATGTACGCATCCTGCTCGGGCTTTTCCTGGTAGCGTCCAATACGGTTCGGGAAGCCAAACCCGCAGTAGTCGTGAATGGCGTAAACCGAGTTCGGGAACACACCGGTAAAGCCAGAAAAGTCCATACTGAATGTATTACCTTCGAGGAAGAGGATATGTTCGGGATCGATCTCGCGGATGGCAGGCACGATGCGGTCGTAGAATGATAGCAAACGCGTCCACTGCTCGTCGGCAGGCTCATTAAGAGGGTTGAAGCCGGCAACCCAGGGGTTGCTCTTGTAGCGCGCAGCGATAACCTTCCACAAATTAATGACCCGGTCCTGGAAGTGCTTGTGGTCCCAGAAGGCTGCGTAGCCTGTCGGGTTATCGCAATGCCAGTCTTGATTCTGGCCTCCTGGGGCCGAGTGGAGGTCCAGGATTGTGTAGATGCCGTACTTAGCGCAAAGCTCAATGGCCCTGTCCAAGTGCTTGAAACCTTCCTCTTTAATCACCATGGGGTTCATATCATCCTCGAAATGACGGTAGTTGAAGGACAAGCGAAGGCAGTTGAAGCCAAGCGAAGAGAGGAATTCGGCGTCCTTCTCGGTGAAGAAGTATTCGAGGAACTTGTCGAAGAAGAAGTCGTACTTCTCTTTACCGAGAACCTTGAGGAGAGCAGCGCGGATCTGATTCTCCCGGCCAGGGAAGCCGTTTAAAAAGTTCTCCATGAGCATCCAACCACCTAGCGTTGTCTGTGCCATTGATGTTAGCAGGAACTTGATGGAGAGGATCCAGAGCTGGACGTACTCCTCGCAGCAACACGGTGTTGCCATTTCCGTCGATAATGTCCTTGCCGGACGTTCTGAGGATGCCGCAAGACATGCTGAAAGACTGTTTCGGAAGAAAAGGACGATGATGAGCCAGAGAACGACAGCTTCAGCGAGAACTTCTGCTCTCTAAATACCACGGCCCTCGCCGATCCAATCCGACAGCCAACGCGACTCGCAGCGCGTCTGGCCAGAAGAGCCCCGGGACGCCTTGCGCTCCACAAGTATACATCCTGAGGCATCCCTGTGCTCTCCAGGTAAAGATTTCTGATAGGGAGAGTATCTGGGACGTTGGAGCTGTGACCCAAGACAACCCCTCGTGTTGTCGCTGTCGGGGCAAGTCGAGACGTCCCCCGAACCCCACGCGACCGCCTAGTCGGGTAGCCAAGACACGCTAGGGGCAGGCTTTTAGATGCCCCGACAAGAATTCCTGTGTGCATGGGCTGCTTCGGGGCTTCGTTTTGAATCCCCCGAGCATCTTTGATTGGCTGAGTCCTCTTCAAGGGAAGTCGAGAGGACAATCTCCTCAAGCCCGGGCCCGATCCTTGACTCAGTCGGTGCGGGCGGCGCCCGCCCGGTCTCCCTATTCGCTCCCCGCTATGGGCTTCTGCGACAACTTCATCACGTTGTGCTCGTGTGGAGTTTACCCCAGCTTCAGTCTCTTCTCCGCACTCCTTCAGTTCTGAGACTTATTTCCCCAGCAATGGTTCTGTCCTGGGCCCAGTTCCCATGATGGCCTGTCATTGACCTTTAGCCGGAGACCCTCGACCTCAGCCCAACGTTCGGAACTCCAAGCAAGCGTCAGAACCGAGTCTTCTCCTGGCCTTAAAAGGAGAACTCGTCCCGGCTGCCTGGGTCGTCTTGGATCATCAGCCTGCCCTCGACTTCTCTCCTCACCTGCATTGCCAGACACCCTCTCCATACGCACGATGAACGCACTTCGACAGCGTCTGCCCGCTCCCAGGCAGGACCAGGCTGCCCGCCAAGCACGCAAGAATGGCGGTGCTGAAGGCGGAAAGGCTGGGTACGAGCCCTCCCGTATCGCACAGCTTGCCCAAGAGGCCCCCATCTGGTATCGCTCTGCCGCTCGCCGGCGGCTCTACTTCCTGCTGTTCCCTGCGGCCGTTGTCTCGTATGCCACGAGTGGTTACGACGGGTCCATGATGAACTCATTGCAGACCGTGTCTTATTGGGATGACTTCTTCGACAACCCGCGAGGCGCTCAGCTCGGACTCATGAGCGCCATCATGTCCCTCGGCAGCATCTGCTCGACGCCCATCGCGCCTTGGGTCGCCGACAAGTATGGCAGGCGCATGGGTATCACTGTCGGCAGTCTCATCATGATTATTGGTGCGATCCTGCAGTGCGAGAGTCACAACTTTGGCATGTTTGTTGGCAGTAGATTCGTGCTCGGATTCGGGTGTCTTTTGCCACGACGTCAGCGCCCAGTCTCGTCAGCGAGCTGTCGCATCCGAAAGACCGCGTCACGGTGACGGCTATCTGCAATACTTGGTAGGATCAAGCCTTCTAGCTGTCTCGAAACATGCGCTGACGCATTTCATTAGCTGGTTCGTTGGCAGCATCGCCGCGGCTTGGATCACCTACGGCACCCGCAATATCCAAAGCACTTGGTCTTGGCGCCTACCCTCTCTCTTGCAAATGGCTCCAAGCATAATCCAGCTCTCAACCATCTGGTTCCTTCCCGAGTCACCGCGCTGGCTAATCTCGAATGATCGTAGCGAAGAGGCCATGGAGGCTCTCAAGCAGTACCATGGCGAAGGCGGCGAAACGGAGCTCGTGCGACTGGAGTTTGAAGAAATCCGTGCTGCGATTGACCACGAAAAGCGTACGTGTCGACGCGCCTCGCAAAACATGCTCACAGAGATTCTTGCTGACAGTCAAGCGTAGGCTCGGGAACAACGACGTGGCCCTCGATGGTCAGAACCAAGGGCAACCGTTATCGCATGTTCCTCGTCGTCTGCATGGGGTTCATGAGCCAGTGGTCCGGCAACGGCCTTGTGGCGTACTGTGAGTGACTCGTTTCTCGGACAAAGACGGCATCGCTGACAGAGACAGACCTGTCGCGCGTCATGGACACGGTCGGCATCACCGACAAAAACACCCAGGCTCTGGTCAACGGACTCATCAACATTTGGAACTTTGGCCTCGGCCTGACGACGGCCTTCTTCGTCGAGCGCATCGGCCGCCGGCCCTGTTCCGCGCGTCGACGCTCGGCATGCTGACGGTGTTCACGGCCTGGACCATTGCGTCTGCTCTCTTCGACCAGAGCCGGGCCAAGTCGGCCGGCATTGCCGTCATGGCCCTGATCTTTGTCTTCCAGTTCTTCTACTGCATCGCCTTTTCGCCGCTGCCGGTCGCGTACTCGGTGGAGGTCCTGCCGTATTCAATCCGCGCCAAGGGCATGGCCACTTACGTCTTCTCCACCAAGGCGGCCGTTTTCTTTAACCAGTTCATCAAGTGAGTGTCTCGGTCCCGCTTGGCGGCCCGGAGAGATAAATCATCCACTGACGCGTTGCAGCCCTATCGGGTTGGAAAACATTGGCTGGCGCTTCTACCTCGTGTACGTGGCTATCCTGGCTGTCGAGAGTTTCATCGCCTACGGCTGGTTCCTCGAGACCAAGGGCAAGGCTCTGGAGGAGATTGCAGTCATCTTCGACGGAGAGGCGGCTGATGTGCGCATGGACGATGGTCACAAGTTGGAGGGTCTTGTGGATGTTGAGGAAACGGAGAATGTCCACCGCAAGGTATAGATGATGTTGGTCAATAGATTGCGTACCTGAGTTGGGTACCCGAAAGGAAGATTCGCAAGATACTTCTGACTGTCAAACATCATGGTCATCGCCAGTACTTCCCAAAACGATTGTTCCAAGGGGGGAAGATGCCCTGTGGCGGGTGCAGCCCAGTGACTGACCCGCTAACGCGACGAAAGCAGTCGTTTCGCACTGGAAGCGCATTTGACGCTGTGCATGAATGTGCCCTGCTCTGGCTCCAGCGCGACTGGAATCTCGGCTGGAATCTGAGGCCCAGCGACGCAGCAAGCAAACGAACAGCAAGTAATAGAAAAGCGACTCTACTTAACTATATTTTGGGGTCCATACTTCGCTCGCTGTCCCCATATGCCTTAGTGTGCACAGATCCCCACGCGAAGCGGCCTGGCTGTCTAGCGGCTTGGGTGAAACGATACGGCATTTCAGATGGCACGCTGTCTTCTGTGCCAAAGGGCAACCCCTTACCCAAAGCAATCGATCATGGCCTACAGCACCAAATTTTGATACACTGGCCTGTCGCGCGGCGAGAACAAAATGTCGGATGCAGTCGGCGACGTCTGGTAGCCCCGCCGGAGCCGCGCTCGCGCAAGACAGAGCTACTCTAGAAGAGGCAACTTGTCGTGTGCGGCGCTGCGAGGCTGGCGGTGAGACAGAAGGAAGCGACCGGGGCCGCCATGATTGCAACCTTCCAGGCCTTCGAAGCACAGCGAGTCGAGGAGAAAAGAGCGATCATCTTCACGTGGGAAGCTACGGCGTGGCCATTGGCGTAGACAGATTTGCCAAGCTCCATCCGGGGGGAAGGCCGGTGCCAACCGAACCAAAGAAATCCCGAGAAAAAATCGTTCACGTACGTGCCAAGTCTGTTTGCGAGAACTAGCCTACCAAGCCTACGTCGGTCAACAACCTACGCAGCCAAGCTTGCCAAGGCAGCGTACCCAAGTGGGGGGGATTTGCCATAAGAGGCAGGCGAGATGCACTCACGACTAAGGCGAGGCAAGCACCGCCAAGCAGGGTCTTTGCCTTTAAGCTGTTCAAACGCCCCCCAATTCGCATCACTGCACTTGCCTTTCTTCCTTCCCTCTATCTCGCTCTCCCTCTTCCACTATTGCCTAGTCATCGGCTCATCTTGTATCACCGACACGCATCCCATTGACCAACACCATCGCCACCTATTCTGAAGTCGCCTCGCCATCAACCCCGCGCCTCTCGCCCTCCATCACCATCCTCCGCCAGGTCTTGCCATCTACCCTGATGGAGTCCGCTCCCCGCTACACTGTCACCGTCTCCGTCGTCCGAGCCTTCTGCCTCGGCCGATTCTCCACAGAATCCCAATAACACAACCTAAAGGTCCAAGTGCACTGAGGAACGAAAAAGCACCCTCTCTCCTTTCGCCATGGCGAAATCCAACGAAAAAGGCCCGGACGACGGACACGTGAGCGACAGTCGAACCAACCACTAACCTTTCCGCCCACAGCCTCTCCTCCAGCAGGTCGTCGACGAGCTGAAGGCCAGCCATGTCGATGGGCTGACCGCTGCCGATGCCGCATCGCGGCTGCAGACCTATGGCAAGAACGAGCTCGGTGAAGCCGAGAGCGTCTCGCCCGTCAAAATCATCATCGCCCCAAGTCGCCAACGCCATGACCATGGTCCTGATCCTCGCCATGGCCGTCAGTTACGGCATTGGTTCCTACATCGAAGGCGCCGTCGTCACCTTTGTCATCCTACTCAATGTCATTGTTGGTTTCTTCCAGGAGTACTCCGCAGAAAAGACGATGGACTCTCTTCGGTCTCTGAGCTCCCCCACAGCTCGTGCCATTCGTGATGGCGAATCTGTCGTCCTTCCCTCTGGGGATCTTGTGCCCGGTGATCTCGTTGAACTCAAGGTCGGCGACACGATCCCTGCCGATGTCAGAGTCTTCGAAGCCGTCAATTTTGAAACCGATGAAGCTCTTCTTACCGGTGAATCACTCCCCGTCCGCAAAAGCGAGACTGTCACGTTTCCTGAGAAGACGGGACCTGGTGACCGCCTCAACGTCGCCTACAGCTCGTCCAACGTGACCAAGGGCCGCGCCAAGGGCATGTCTTCGCCACAGGAGTCTACACGGAAATTGGTGCCATCGCGTCGCAGCTTCGGAAGAAGGAGACTCGGCGTCGCCCCGTCAAGCGCAAGGCGACGGCTCCGCGAGACCCCATCGCTATCTCGAGGCGTACACGCTGACCCTAACGGATGCCATTGGCCGATTCTTGGGCGTCAACGTCGGCACTCCGCTACAGCAGAAGCTGTCGAAACTCGCCATGTTGCTGTTCGGCATAGCTATTGTTTGTGCCATCATCGTTCTAGCGGCCAATGAATTCTCGTCTGAGCAGGAAGTCATTATCTACGCTGTAGCTACCGGGTTGTCGATGATCCCCGCTAGTTTGGTAGTCGTGCTGACGATCACCATGGCGGCTGGCACAAAGCGTATGGTCAAACGCAACGTCATCGTCAGGAATCTGAAGAGTCTGGAGGCTCTGGGCGCTGTCACTGATATTTGTTCCGACAAGACCGGTACCCTGACGCAGGGCAAGATGGTGGCCCGCGGTGCATGGCTCCCTGGGAAGGGTACATACACCGTGGAGAACTCTACTGCGCCGTTTGATCCTACCGCAGGCGACATTCGGCATCACCCCGAATCACCGCGCCGCATCGACTTCAAATCGGGCGGCGATGCGTGTGGCACCATCGCAAAGGCCGAGGATTTGGTAAAGGACAGCCAGAACAGCCTGGGCGACTTTTTGCAAGTCGCATCCCTTGCCAACCTCGCGACCGTCACGCAGAAGGAAGACCGGTGGGATGCCCGCGGCGATCCTACTGAGATTGCGATTCAGGTCTTCAGCACGCGCTTTGGCTGGAACCGCCACGAGCGAACAGCAGGAGAGAAGGCAGAGTGGCAAGATGTTGCCGAGCTGCCATTCGACTCTGACGTCAAGCGCATGTCGGTTGTGATGAAGCACAACGGAACCGGCCAGCTTCATGCCTACACCAAGGGCGCTGTGGAGCGTGTCATCCAAATCTGTACCAAGTATGCGCCGAGCGATGACGGACAACTCGTTCCTGTGACGGATGAGTTCCGCGAGGACATCTTGCGCAACATGGAGGTGTTCGCTGGCTTGGGACTTCGCGTGCTGGCTCTGGCTAGCAAGCCTTTTGAATCGACGCTGCAAAAGGGCGACGACGTCGACCGGGAAGCTCGTTGAATGCGACCTCGTGTTCCGCGGCCTGATCGGCCTGTACGACCCGCCTCGTCCTGAGTCAGCCCCGGCTGTTCGACAATGCCACGAGGCTGGCATCTCGGTGCACATGCTCACAGGCGATCACCCTGAGACGGCCAAGGCCATTGCCATCGAGGTCGGTATCCTGCCCTCGCGATGGAGCGCATTGCACGGGACGTCGCTGCCGCCATGGTTATGACCGCCTGCGCAGTTCGACGGCTTGTCTGATGAAGAAGTCGACAGGCTGCCGGTGTTGCCTTTGGTCGTGGCCAGATGCGCGCCCAGCACCAAGGTCCGCATGATTGAAGCTCTTCACAGGCGCAAGAGATTCGTCGCCATGGTACGTCGGCCCATTGTCGTGTTTCGTATATGATGATTTGTCTCTAACCCGCATTAGACCGGTGACGGTGTCAACGACTCTCCCTCCCTGCGTCGCGCCGACGTAGGCATTGCTATGGGACAATCTGGATCTGATGTTGCCAAGGTAAGCAGAGTGCCCCGCGGTGTGTCTTCGACTTCGTTGCTGACCAAATAGGATGCGTCGGACATTGTCCTGACCGACGACAACTTTGCCTCGATTGTAGCGGCCATCGAAGAGGGCCGCCGTATCTTTGACAACATTCAGAAGTTTATCCTTTCACGTTCTTTCGGAAAACGTGGCTCAAGCCGGCACTCTTCTCGTGGGTCTTGCCTTCAAGGATGGTCGTGGCCTGTCCGTGTTCCCCCTGGCTCCTGTACAGATCATCTGGATCATCATGGCCACCTCGGGCATGCCTGACATGGGTCTCGGTTTCGAGCGGGCTGTTCCTGACATTCTCCGTCGGCCGCCGCAGTCGCTCAAGTCTGGTGTCTTCACAGCTGAGTTCCTCGTTGACATGGTCGTGTATGGCCTGTGGATCACGGCGCTTTGTCTCGCGAGTTTCTCCCTCGTTGTCTTTGGCTTCGGGAACGGCGATCTTGGTGAATTCTGCAACGAAGACTATAGCGAGCGTTGTGACGTTGTGTTCCGTGCACGCGCAACGACGTTCGCTTGCTTGACTTGGTTTGCGCTGTTTCTGGCGTGGGAAATGATCGATATGCGTCGGTCATTCTTCCGCATGCAGCCTGGATCGAAGAAGTACTTCACGCAGTGGATGCTTGACGTGTGGCGGAACCAGTTCTTGTTCTGGGCCATTATCTTGGGCTTTGTTACGCTGTTCCCCCTGCTTTACATTCCCAAGCTGAACACGGTCATTTTCAAGCACTCGCCCATCTCCTGGGAATGGGGCATTGTGTTCATCGCCGCAGGGCTCTTCTTCGCCGGCGTCGAAACGTGGAAGTGGGGCAAGCGCGTGTACTTCCGCCGGCAGGACCGCAAGCGCCTCGGCCCGGCGTTCAAGGACATGGACATTGAGCAGCGGGTGTTTGGCGAGTTCCTCGGTTCGGAGACGGACGAGGAGGCTGCCCAGGGAGGAAAGGCGCAGTAGGCGTATGGAAGCTGACGGACCACCAGACTGTCCTGTCTGTCGGCTGAAAAGTAAAATAGGTGTTTGAGAGGCAGACGCAAGGTTTCAACACGAAGCGTCCTGTCGTGGTGGGTTGTGCACTTGTTGCATTTGTTTTGATTTCACAGATATAAAATCCAAAAAAGAATTGTGCGATTTAAACAACTGAGACATGGCGTGAGTCAATGTTCTTCCACGTGGAGGAGTGGTTGAAAGCATATCTCGACGGCTCTTGGATGGAGAAGTATCATTGGGAATAATGACAAACTGGAAAGTAGCAAGAACGAAAACACGCAAGAGGCATAGGTCGCCTACCAAATTCAACCAAAACGTGTACAAAAGCCGAGTCATCACGATTCGTCCACCTGGATGTACGCCAACAGTCCATCGAGCACATCATGGCGCGTGCCCGTGTAGCGCACCTCGGCCTCGGTCCAGTTGATGACGCTCCACACGGCGTCGACGTACGCGGCCCGCGCGTTCTTGTACTGCAGGTAATACGCGTGCTCCCAGACGTCGACGCCGACGATGGGGGTCTCGCCAGGCCCGTTTGGCGACGAGATCCTGGTCGCGCGCCGTCACGATGCGCAGAACGCTGCCGCCGCCGCCGCCGACGTCCTGCTTGACGAGCCACCCCCAGCCGCTGCCCTGGACGCCGACGAGGGCGCGCGAAAAGGCGTCGAGCATGGCGTCGAAGGAGCCCCAGGTGGCGACGACGGCGGCGGCGAGGCGCGGGGCGGCGGCCTCGGGGTGCTGGGCGTCGGGGCTCGCGGCCGGGGCGAGGTTGCGCCAGAAGAGGCTGTGGTTGATGTGGCCGCCGGCGTTGAAGCGCAGGGCCGGGTGCAGGGCGAGCTGGTCGGCGAGGGAGGCGGCGGCGGCGGCGTCGTCGTGCTTGGCGAGGGCGGCGTTGAGGTTCGTGACGTAGGCCTGGTGGTGCTTGGTGTGGTGGAGGGTCATGATCTCGGCCGAGATGGCGGGCTCGAGAGCGTCGTAGGCGTAAGGCAGCGGCGGCAGGGTGTAGCGCGGGGTGGCCAGCTTGGGCGGGTTGGGGTTTTGCTAAGAGGGGTGAGCGAGTGATGGCGAGCAAAGTGATTGTGAGCAAGGGACTGCGAGAAAGTGACTGTGAAGCCCTCGCCTCGTGAGAAGGGCAATGAAGGCGAGTGAGCTGTTGGAACAGAGTAAGAACTCACCATCTCGGCGTACTGCACCTGCCCCCCGTCGGCCACATACGTCGTCCCGGCAGCAGGAGCACCGGGCGACAGCGAGGAAGCAACGTCTGACATGGCTCCTTACAAGTGGTGAGTCTCAGCCACGTCAACACTGTCGGGCAACAATCCTCCACACACAACAAGGAGGTTACTTGGCAAGACCGGCAATGTCAAGTCCGTCGTGTCTGGTCAAGAGGGACGGCGATGAATTGATGGTGGGGGGTGGGGGGCGTTGTCGCCGAGAGGCTTCGGCGCGGGGAACGGTGAAGAGACCGTGGCCTACTTCCTGTGGCTGTTGTGGCTGGTGTCTGCGACCGGCACCTGATTATGTGCGCTGTCCAAACCGCCGGGTAGCTCACTTGATGACGAGCCTCAGTGCATCTGCCGGCAGCACGGAGGAGGCGTCGCGGGCCATCAGACAGAGCATGGAGTACCGTGGCATCCGCACCCTGGACCAGACACGATCACGCCATCGCGCCAACGCACTACACCTCGTCAGATTCGACCGGCCGTTCAACTGAATCTTCCACTCTATCCCGACCTTTGTCTTCTTCCTTTTGCATGTTTTGTTACACAGTGTGGCATGTGTGGCCTAGGCCAAGTTGTATCATGTGTTCATATTCATACTGACTGGCAGCATTGTGTTCATAAGTATATCATGCTTTTCTGCTTTTCTCCTCCTCCCTTTTGTTCACTCAAGAAAAGCCACTCCGCCGCTGACGACATCACAGACCTTAAGCAAGGTATCCACCGATAAACGGCGTCAGGTAATCCATCTTGCCAATGACGACGCCCTCCTTGCGCAGGATCGAGTAGAGAATGGCCGTGTGGAAGAAGACGTTGGGCACGACGTAGCCGGCGACGTACTCCTTGGCCTTGAGCTCGGCCGACTTGCCGGGCCCCATGCCAAAGCTGACGGTGGCGTCGGTGCGCTCCTCAAACGTGGCGCGGTCGGCGCCCTCGAGGGCGGTGACGGCGGCGTCGAGGCGGGCGCGCACGTCGGCGAGCGTCTTGAGGCCCTCGGGCCACGACGTCGGCGCGGGCTCGACGTTGTGCAGGCGCGCGACGAGCTTCTGGGCCGTGTCGGTGACCATGTGCACCTGGAAGGTCAGGGGCAGCATGTCCGGGGCGAGGCGGGCGTCGAGGAGCTGGTCGATGGGCGTCGACGTGGCCGTCGCGTGTGCCTCGGCCTTGAGGACGAGGGCCTGGCAGGCGCGGACGGCGGCCAGGGTTTGCGTGACGCTGCCGTCGTAGAGAGTGTACGACATGGTTGCTTATCGTGTGTGTTGGGGGTTGAGGTGGGTGGTTGGGCGGTGGACTGTCGTCAAAAGGATGGACTGTGCTAGCGGGCGGGAGGTCGAGAGTGTGTGCTGGCTAACTTGAGAAAGTCAAGGCCAGGTAGGAGCAGGACTTCCCTCTCTTATGCCCTCGCTTCCAACTCGCGCCAGCAAAGCGGTGAGCCCCTCCCCTTCCGTCCCATTTCTTCGCTTCGCCTCGCCTCGCCTTGCCTCGCATCCTCGACACTTACCCCTCCACCCTGTCCTGCCTTCTATCCACCTCGCGCTTGACTAATGTATGGGCAGGAATCCGTCAGAGGCAAGAGACACGGAACGAGGCAGGCACGAAGCAGGAGGCACGAATGAGGATCCCCCTTCCCCGCAGGCCCCATCGCTCTTGCTCCATCGTAACGTTCCCGCTCGGCCGCTCCCTGATCCCTCGAGAAGGGGGAAAAATAGAGACGACGAGGCAACGAGGTGTCACCGCTGACAAATGCCCCTTCTGACAAATGGTCCCCGCCCCGCCCAACGCACCTCGTCAGTAAGTAGGTACGTAGTACGTAGTACCAAGGTGTCGACCGTGACCTGCCGCTGGGCGAAGACAAGGCCTCAGCCGCTGCCTTTTCGCCTACCTACCTGCGTCGAAAAGAAGAGGATGTGCATATCGTGTGCAGTCCAAACTTACAGCATGAAATTGAGGAGCCTTTGCATCGTCTTCGTCATCGTTGTCGTCGCCGTCGAAATTCTCCCGTCTGACGTTTTGGGGAACGACGAACGCATGATGGCCCAGACAATCAATGGTGGGGTTGGAGCGACAGGGACATGCTCCTGAAGGTTGGCAGGGGACCACAGAGCAGAGAGCAGAGAGCACAGAGGCTGCTGGAGCCTTCTCTTTGCACGTCGCAGCGCGTACCCGCCTACATCTCCACCGACGAGAGCGGGCAGACGAGGGGTTTTTCCATGCGGGAAGAGGATGCGGGACGTTGCGATGCCGCTTGTCTAGGAAGATTGCCCAGGCACGACGGGCATGGCACGACCCTGAAAACGTGAGAAACGGGTTCAAAGATTGGGCCTCAATTGGTAAGCACCGAACAGACCCCCTCTGCACTATACTCTCTCAACAAGCTCAATGAGGCGTCATCATCCACCTTGTGGCATGCCTCACAGCAAACATCACAAACCAAGGCGCACAGCATCAGTAGCAGCAGTAGCAGCAACACCAGGCCATCATATTCTTGCTACCCAAAACCGGACGACAGGCCTCTCCTGGCCGATGCTTCCCGTCGTCAAAGTGCAACGCCACCCTCCCAGGTTTCCTTTCCATTCGCGCATAGCTCGTAGCTTGTGGCTCGTAGCCCGTATAGACAGACGCCAGCGCCCCTGGCGAACAAACAATCGAAAATGCTAAAGTTGAAGAAGAAAAAAGTGCCCGTTTGCCCACGTACCAAATGGTATCATACCTAGTCGTACAAGAAAACAGTTCGGGGCATACGATGATGCCTCACGTCTCGCGACCCCGTCGCATGCGCATCACCTCTCCTCGAAGATCGCGGTTCTCCGACTCGAGACCGCCGAGCCGCTGCCGTGCCGCTGTACGATCGAGGTTGCGTCCTTCGCGCTCCGCCTTGAGCTTCGTCTCGAGGTCTCGCAGCCGCAGCATCCACGTCTTGTCCTCGGCAACGCCGCTTCCGCCGTGGCCCCGCTCTGCGAGCGCCGTCTCGTACGGGTTCGTCTCCGCGCCGAGCGACACGCCACCACCGCCCCGTGAGCTGCCGCCGCGCGAGCTGCTGGTCCGCGTCAGCGTCGACGACCGCTCGCTGTCGCGCCCCTTGCGGCTCTTCTTCTCGCGGTCTCGCGGGCCCGTGGGGATCGAAGGCGACGGGCTGCCGACGCCTTCCTCGCCCGCTGCCGAGTACGCTGCCCTCGATCGCACGTTGCTCGCTGTCCGCAGCGTCGCGTTCTCAATCTTGAGCTGCCGGTACGCCTCCTCCATGCGCACCATGCGTGAGTGTTCGCTCGAGTTGAGCGTGCCTGAGGCCACGCCGTTGCGCACAATCGACTCGAGCCTGTCTAGCTTCTTCGTCTTGGTATCGAGGTCGCCCTCGAGTGCCTGGTAATCCTTCCAGAGATCGCGCTCCATGTTCTTGATGCGCGACTGGAACCCTCCGACCATTGTCTCCATCGTCTTGACCGCGGCGAGCAGGTTCTTTGTGAACCCAGGCAGCATTGTCGCCACCGATTCAAGGGACGGTAGCGCCCGTCCGTTGATGAGGCTGTTGTTGTGCGCCCAGTCGGTGCCGCACAGGGACGAAAGTCGCGCCCACAGCACCAGCAGCAGGTTGTTGCGTTCCGTCAGCTGCTCCCTGAACGCCGCCTCGAGCTGCGTCATCTCTCTTCTTGTCCATCGCCCGTCCTGCCTCGAGCTCTGTGATGCGTGAGTCTTGCGACGACACCGTCCTCGACACGTGTCTGTGTGTCTTCTGAAACGTCTCAAACTGTGTGCGTGTCGTGCGGTGCCCCTGCTGCTCCTTGTGCAGTAGCTCAGACAGCTTGCGCAGCTCCAAGCCGTGTGACTCGAGTAGTGCGTCCCGCTGCTTGATGATGCGGCCTTTCTCTACGAGAGACGCCTTCGTCGTGTCGAGCTCGCGCACCGTATTCTCAGTTGCCGCTGAAGGCTCGTGATGTTCTGTTTTGGTCAGCAGGGATCTTGA